AATGTCTGAAGAGATGCAATGCAATGAGCGAATCTCAGACAATTAGGTGACTTTATTACCGATAAGTAATCCAAACTAGTGACACTTAAGACTTAGCCACCGGTTTGGTTTAGCTTTTCCGGTTATCTAGTTAAAATACCGAAAATTCCAGTCAGATTTTGGGTATATACTTCGCCAATTCAACATTCGTAAAGAAAGTAGGTAACCAAACCAAACGGAACCACGAGAAATTTGTTTGGTACGGTATAACCCGGTCTGAGGGAATATTCCGGTTTGGTCGCAATTTGTACTAAACATGTGATTTAAATTGTAATCTCGTACTACAGTCCAAAGCATTGATCTAGTTACTAGTTACTTTATTTAATACAGGAAAAAAAAAGGTCGTAAAAGAGAAGATTTGTTGGCTCTTAATGGACCAAAGAATCCCATGTGAGTGGCTTTAGTCTAATCTCCATATACCGACCAATAAGATAAGAGACACGTGTTCTTTTCGAAAAAGTTGCTCATTGATTGGAGAGTCGTGATGTATTGGTAGAGCTGTGCCGTAGACGAATAAAGTCTAGTCACTGTCACGTGGAATGTTCAGTTACTTCCACTTGGGAATATTTTCCGTGCTTCACGTTCACACCGAAACAAAAGATGGGAAGTATATATTTGGGCTTTGATATATAAGCCTTTTAGAGGCCCATTATTATCTTACTCACCCACATGAGTTGCTGGATAATACAAGACATTGACATGACATTTGTTTGTTATTAACATCTAATTTAAAAATTTAATGATTTTGTGCTGATAAACGTCAAATCTTGAAAACAATGTATTGGTTACAAATTTATTATCAATTATATAATTTTTAGGAATTTCACTTTACATACATTTTCAGTACCATTTTATCTTTTATATATACATGTCTATTATCTTGCTATATTACTGTATTACCAAACAAATTGTATATAACTCATATTAAAATTTAAGAATAAAAATTGCATTTGTATTATTACATTAGGGAATTTAAGAAAAGTAAAAAGCTTAGTTAATAGTGTTTGAGAATCAAGTTTATAATTATGAGTAGATATTATAGGTAGATTTGATGAATATTTAATTTTATCTGCTCTTTGGGTAATGAATGGGATGGAGAAACATATTGCATTTGATAGCATGTGGGTGTGGGGTTTTGCTTCGTTACCATGTAAAAGAAAATTGGCCAACAAGAAATAAAGAAGGCAGCGATTGAAAAGTTCGCCAAAATCTCCCATCAAGGGTTGACATTTTTCTTATTGATTTTTACCATACTCATTTCTTCGTACTAAGTTATCAAATCCGTGATTAGCTTTTCTAGCTACCCCTTTTCTTCCATGTACATTAATCATATATTTTTTCATGTGTTATCATCAAACTTTTTTATATTATCTTGTTGCAAATAATAATCAACAGATTAAGCAATAAAGTTAACAATATTAAAGTTAATCATTTTATCATATGCGATTACGATAAACGGCTTCACTTCTACCATCCTATATACAATTTGATAACGGAAAAAAAAAATTTGAACTCACGACAGACATCATTTTTTTTAGCAACACACAAATCCCCACGACGGAAATTTCTACCTATATGGCTATATAATAATCCCAATGAATTAGCAGTTAATTAACTAATTTTTTATAGGTATGGTGTTATGCAAAGTAAATTAACTGTAAACAAAATGTATATATATGCTTGACTGAAAATATAATTAAGGTGTAACCAGACCAACTTATATTTTTCTCCCCATAAACATATATGGTTAATCGTTATAAGGAAGAAAATGTGTCATTATATAATTCATGAGTATGCATGTATAAATGATGTCCACCAAATTCAAAAGCAAAAGAAAGATAAGATATTGTGGGGACTTAGTAGAAGATATTAGTGCCTAATGAGCAATCGCGCGAATGCTTTTATGTCATAACTATCTTAGTAATCAGTTAAAAAAAAAAAAAAAACTATCTTAGTAATCTATTTGGAAACCATTGTGTGATTACTAACTATCAATTTCGGGGAAAAAGAAGAAGTAACCCCTTTTTATTACGTTAACATTTCATTTCACCTACAAAATGGGTGGTTAATTAGCTCTTTAGGGGTTAGTTCTTTTAGAATATAATTGCTTTTTTACGTTAGTATTTACATGTTAAATCATGTAATGTCTTTAATTATATTTACATGCATATAACCACAACTTCTCTGTTTTTATTGGAGAAGGATCCTACTAGAAAATGTTGATCGATCTATTCAGATTGGAGAACACATGTACAATCAATGACTTTCGTGGTATTCTCCACGATATCAGGACAAATATGACCATGTTATACACAGTATTCATTCCATTTTGTTCCACAACATGCCAATGTTAATGATATATGTTCAAAGTTAGTTATGTACTGACAAGCTTGGTCCATAACATAAGCCAAAGTGGCTTTGGGTCTCAGATTTTATTGGGAGAAAAATGGTTATTATATTATTAAAATTGTATAATATCTGATCACATGCACGCGTTATGAAGATCACAGGATCAATAGTTCAATGGTATCATGTTCGAGAAGACTTTTATCATATCTTTAGATCTTTTAGGCAATTAGACTTGAATCCAAATTATTTTACTATGTGGCTTTTTGGTGTAATTTTTTAATATCAAAATGAAAGCTGTATCTAATTAACTAGAACTTGAAACATATTCCCATTCGCTAATTTTCAAAAGAAAATTATTGTGAAAAGTGATATTCGTGAATATTTTCAGTGTCTCGCCTCGTGTGCTGTTTTTTTTTCATGCCATGAACGTACGTAGCGTATAAAAGTTTGCCAAGAAACTTAGAAAAAGACTTCAAAGTGCATGAATTTTAGATAATTTACTTATTTCCGAAGTACATGTATATTAGTCCCGTTTGTATTAGAAGTAAAAACATATTTAAGGGTCGACCAATCTTACCTAGTAGTATTAACTTGTAAGCATTAAATGTGGATTATGATAATGTTTTAACTTTTAACAACTTAGCAATGGTGATAATGTGGAATTAGGTGGATCCCATTTAAATAGAGAACACATACACCTTCACCGTATCTGATAGTTCCATCTACATAATGACATGTGTCCCCCATCAATACATTTGTCTAATTGTCTAATTATATTGTCTCAAAATTTCGAAGAAATTTGTGGGGTTTTGAATGAAATTCTCCAGCTTTTTTTTATTAGAGAGAGGCACAGTGAGCTTTCATGTGATTCTTTGTCTTCTAACATTGTCAAACAAAATCTGATGAAACAGTGTGCTTCTCTTCTACTAACTTCTGAAGAAAACAGTAAAATATCGATGGATTTATCCGTGAAAATAAGGAATCCAAGCAAATCCTTAATCAATAGAACATAATGTTGTTGTCTAGTCACTGCAAAACGCATATATTCATTAGAGTTTTTACCAATGACGCTCAATTACTCAAAAATAAATGTTAAACTCCGTAGGATGATACGAGTACTCAATAACATTGTCATAGACTATTAGCTAGACACATGTATATTTATTTCTGCTTCGTATATAATATAATGACACCGCATAGTTAGAACAATTTAATTTGATACGTCTCTATCAAACTTAACGTTGCAATGACACGCCTTAGTGATCATTTTATGAAATTTACGGGAGAACCTTTCAAGAGTACTACGTCCGATCAGAGGACATAAATCTTTGTTTTCTTTCTTGATACAAATTTTGTCTTTTAGTTTAT